CAAATTTAAGCATATCTAAACTCAATTTCTTTAAAAAAATTCAACAGGGTCTTCTCTTAAAAATTAAATATCCTAAAATTATAACAATCATAAACCAATAGAAGCAACAAACAATTAAACAAATATTTCCTTCTTGAACTAATCCTCAAACTTTATCCAATGCATGAACTTCTTTCCTACCAATATTATATATTCACTTTACAAATATTACTTAAAGTATTGATTTTGGGTGGAAGATTGAATGGTTACAATCAGATATAATTGAATCAAAGCAATTTTGATAAACTATATACTAATAGCAAGAGAGAGGTCTTATTATCATGTTTCAAGGAAATTCTTTAGTGGATGAATTGCTTAGATGTCCTTTCAACATCTAAGGAGGACTTAACCATCATCATGAGTTCTCAAGTATAGTTTAAGGTGTTTTACTTTCTCCCAACCTCCTCTAATACTATTTTTTACAATTTAAAGGAAGCGTCCATAATGTTTAGAAGTCTCAAGGGAGTTATCTCTAGGTCTACGCTATTATGTTACCTTTGTAATTCATCTATGTCTTTTAATTTTCATCAAACTATTTCATTGTACCCTTTACCAAAAAAGATAATAAATTAGAGCAAATAAAAAAGAAACCTGGACAAAAAATAGAGACTTTGTGGAGGAGACAAAGATGGAGAGGGAGGAGAAGATCAGACACCACTAAGCTGCAGGTTTTATGAGAAAAGAGGAGTCATTCAAAGCTATGTGAGTAGTGAGAGAGAAGAGAAAATGAGAGAAGAGGAGAGGGAAAGGGATGCCATCACTGAGCTAGGTCTTACCGTTTTTGAAGATAGATAATTGCGATGGGAGGTTTTGTTGAGGGAATTGAGACAAAAGAGCAAGATAGAGAGTTGCAAGCCTAAAATAGTAAAGGTGAGATAGACAAGGAGTTAAGGTGCGGACTTCAATTTTTTTTAATTTTTAAGCACAAGCCACGTTGCTATGGCAACATCGCTTGTGTTTTGAAATCCTTTCTTTATTTTTTTGTTAAAAAAATAATCTTTTAACAATCCACCTCCCTTTTAGTTAGGGTAGTGATATGGCTTGCTCCCTTTCTATATCACATTTTCAATTGGTGACACGAATCAATGTAGTAAAAATGATTTTTTTGCAATGGTGATAATCAACAAATGGGTCACTCTATGGCCTAGTGAAAAACGTTGGAGGAGTGTGTTTGAATTTCAATTGATAAAAAAAGATTACAAAAGAAATTAATAACTAAAACGAGATGATATTTGAATAAAATTTTTTAAAATTGATTTTGACAATTAAAGATATTTGAATAATTTTTAGAATCAATTATAAAATGGGGGAAATGAAAAATGCTCAAATGTTAAAAATTACTTTTCAAATGAAGAAAAAATAGTTTATGTCAAATAGAGTTTAGAAGGCAAATGAAACTTTAAAAAATTAAAAATGTTTGGATAAGACATTTTAAAACTGTAATTGTGGTCCCAAAATTGATTGTGCACATACCTTCAAACAGGCCCAAAGTTGGGGTCTCCACTAGTGACCTTGAACACTAGCTCATTCTCCATAACCGATCAAAATAGTCGAGCAGCATACTCTCGTCTTCTGAATTCTACATGGTTGGACAACATTATATCAGAAAAATATTATTGGTCCCCATTATTTAACAACCAACGGGTCACCAAATCATACACTTAACAGTAATTAAATTGATCGTTTTGATTCTAAATAGTATATGACAAACGTCCTTGTGTCAAATTTTCATATCCTTTAATTTAATTTCAGAAGATTTAAATTTTGAATTACGTCCTATATCGAGTGTCAATTATTAAATGTCAAGTTATTTTTTGTTACTCATATGAATCTATGTTAATCATTTAATTTCTTGCAGTATTTAAATTTGAAACTTCTAATGGCCACGTGTTTGACTAAATTGCTAACTATGAAGACATTAAACCTTTAATTATATGTTTATATTATTACTTACTGTTATTTTACCGGCAACAACAATTTCGTTGACATTGAAAACTTTTGCCTTACGTTCATGATTTTTTTTTTTTTTTGGGGCGTATGCACCGTGAAAAGAGACATGTTTCGAAAACTATGCATTAAAGTGAGTTAAATAAAGAGCACGTGGATGTCACTTTCTCTGTTTAGACACGGTGCCCCCCCTATAACCAATTTAAAGGGGACAAGTAGGGATGCTTTGCATACTTCCAACCTTGTATTTAAAAAAAAAATCAAAATTATCTGTACCGTAACCCCTGCATTTTAATTATTTAGTTCAACAGCCCGCTTTCTCCACGTGTTAAACACTACTAACTCAGTTTGGTTCGATTACAAGTAATCTGCTGGGTGCAGTTCTCACATGCTAACCATTTGGCTGCCATTTTGTACTGTAAAGCCCATTATCCACATAAAATTATATGTGATAATACGGATGATATAAAAAATATATGTAATTTCCATTTCCTGTTATGAATTTACTCAAATATCCCTCCCTCTCTTTTTTCTTCTTCTTCCTGCTTCTTTCTTGTGTCCAGAACATTGTTAGCTCTTCCATCCTCCCTTTCTCTTCGTCGCCGGTCACTTTATCTCTGTCAACTGCCGACCTCTCCTTCCTCCCTCTACCACCCTCTTCGCCTCTGTCAACTGTCGCCGCCATCGCTCCATCCTCTCTACCTTCACCGCCTCCCTCTTCATCTAGACAGACATGTCACCACCCTCCCTCTCCCAGACCAGTTTGAAATCCTTAGGTTCCATTTGTTTATTAGAAAAGAATAGAGTGAAATAAATTAAAAAAATAAAGGAAAAAAAGAAGATGATCAAATGAGATATGTAAACACATTTATAAAGAAGATGAGTAATTTAGTTCATGAGATTGAGAATAATAATTAATGAAATTTTTTGAGGGTGTATAAAAGAATGGTGATTTAATTCATTTTTACTTGATTTTTTCAGTTAATTTTATTTTATTTTCTTTTTAATAATTAAATGGGACCTTAAGTTTTGCCTTATCATGAATTTGTTCTACATGTGGTCTCTACCATTAAAAAAAAAGTGTTTGTGTGTGTGTGTGTTTTGTAATGAGTTTGTTTCTGGCCAAATCTTTTGATTTTGTAGTTAATAGTTAATCATGGTATAGGAGAAGAAGATTGAAAGGAAAGGAAGAAATTTTCGTTGAAAGAAGATCCAATGGGAAAGGTGAAGAGTTTTTTTTCTTTTTTTGAGAGGGGCATTACATATAGAAAATTAATTTAGTTTTAACATTCTCAATATCATACCAAACAAACATATAATAATTATCATTGCATTACATTTCATTTTTTACATTACCTATGATTCAATGAATCAAAGAGGACATACATTTGTGTACAGCCTCTTTCTCCCTTTTCCGTTAAAGGATCAGAGTCTACGCACTCTTTATAGAGGAAGCAAATTAATTTCCCCATACTAATTAATCCATGAGAAAAAACTTTAAGCAAAAAAGAAAGATCTGCGAGAAAAGCTTTAAAATTCATGACAAAATACTTTTTTAAGGAATTTCTTACAAACAATTTTGCAATATAATGCAATAAAATTTTTTAGAAATAAAAAAATTATATACACTTATTTTGTACCTGAGTAATTTTGCCATCATGATTTCTACCCACATGATGCTACCTTTTTTTTTTTTGGCCAAACATGTATAACCTATTTTTTTTTATTAAGAAGATATCAAGTATCCTTTTTCACAACTCCGTACCAAACCATTATTGGTGAAAATATTCCTCACGAATATAATTTTGGCGAGGAAAAGAAAATGAAGAAAATGAAAAACAATATTGTTTCTCGTGAGCAAAATATTCCCGTAAAAATAATTTGATTTAATATTGCCTAACTAACTAAACAACCTACTCTAATTAATGTTACTTGAGGTAATCTTTCAACTTTTTAAAGAACTAACTAATTTTAGCAAATTTTTATAATCTATATAAAATGTTTAATAGGTGATAGCAAGTGGACAATTCCATGAGAACAACATGTAGCACCAATTTTGAGCCAAGATAAAATTTTTAGAAAACACTATATATCATAATTTTGTTAGAATTAGAGTCAATAATTGGGGCCAAGCCTGACAAGTTAGCCCGAACCTAAACGAAAAAGGTTAGAGCCGGACTTAGAAAAAATAATTTTTTTTTATGTTCGAGTCTATTCAGGCTAGGCTGAATAGGCTCGAAAAAATTCAGGTCAAGCTCGATCGGGTTCGGGCTTGGCCCGAATATCGGAATAAAAAAAATTTTATTTTTACAAAATATAATAAATATTAATTAATTAATTAAGGTTTAGGCCATTTTAGCAAGCTCGAATACCGGAATAAAAAAATTTTATTTTTACAAAATATAATAAATATTAATTAATTAATTAAGGTTTAGGCCATTTTATACTAAAATACTATATATTTGAGTCTTATACACCATTTAAGTATCAAAAAAATATATTTTATATTTTTATAAAATAAAATAATTAATTTTAAAGTGAAAAAAATTAATTAAAAATAAAAATTTGGGTATTCAGGCCGCCTGAAGTTTGAAGTAATTCGAGTTGGGCTTTACTTTTCGATTTTCTCAAGAAGTTGGGCCTATTCAGGTCGAGCTTATTCAGGCCGAGCCCAAATAAGTCCGACCCGTATGAATTTTCAGCCCTAATTAGAATCAACAAGGGGTGATTCATTTGGCAAGTATTTCACATATAATTTACAAGATCATAGGATCAAATTTCGTTATTAATACAAAAATTTTGTTGTGGTGGACAATCTACATAAATTCTCGTGTAAGTGCTTTTAAAGTTTGGAAGTATGCACTAGCCCTGATAACCTCTCAAACTCCACTCATTTAAGTTTTTTTAATAAGAAAAGAAGTTCGCAATGATCTCTATAAAACATCCGCAGGAAAATTAAAAGCACGTTGTTTTGTAAGTAATGACTGAAGAGTGTCGCTGCATGAGAGAAACAATGAATTAAGAACCTAATAATTGCAAATTAGTAAAGGTTACATTATATTGGTAAAAGACAGGTCGATTCAATTAGAGAAGCAGATGCACAAGATAGATATTACATTATTAGCACGCATGTTAATACATATTATCAAGCCACATTCTAGGTCTCTGCAGGTCCTGCGTCATCAAGCCAGGACTCAACCTGAACATGAGAATGCAGAATTCCATTTGATTCAAAACACCATCTCCATCCAAGTCACCTTCCATTAACATCATCACGAGCTCGTCGTCCCTCACGTCCAACCCTAGTAACATCGCGGTCATCTTCAAGCTCTCGAAGGTGATCACTCCCTTGCTCGCATCCATGAGAAGAAAAAATCCATTGCAGAGCTCGGCGATGAACCCTTCAGCTCCAAGGCTCGCAACCATGGAGGGGAAGAAGTCCTCGAAGTCGAATTCCCATCCGCAATCTACTTCCATTGTTGAAGAAGATGATGAACCTGCAAATTGGTGCATAGTTCAACCGTTTGTTTTGTTGCTTTTGTATGTGAGCTTTTTGGGAAGGAGAATATGCGTGTCGGTAGCTTGAGGTTGAAGAATTTGAATGGTAGGGTTGGTGAGAGAGAGGGTGTTATATATAGAGCGAAATGATTAATTGAGGGGAAAAAGGTCTCTTTAATCCCACTATTTTTTTTTTTTCATTTTTTGTTACGAGAGGCACATGGATTCGAATTCCCAAGTTAAATGTAAGTACATTGTTGTCTTTGAATCAATTTATATGAGTTCAAGTTTTTATCAAAAATTTAAATTATCAACATTTAATTAAAATATTTGTTATACTTTTCATCCGAAATTGAAAGCATTATCATTGGACACTGAGTGTGGATCATCATTTTTTTTTAATTAAACATGTTATCATTTTTTAAAAAAGAAATTGGACACAGAACAAAATATAATTTTTTGTGGCCTTCCCTTTTTTCTTATCCGGAACATCCTCGTTTAATACAGTAATACACCATGTGAATTTGATGGCGACTCATTTTCATCTAGCAATTTTTTTTTTTTTTGATCTTTGCTAATTGGGTAGAACAGTGTGTGTCCTCATTCGTAATTGTAACCCGTGAATTCTATATAAATGCGGTGTAGGGTAGAGAAAAAGAGGTGTCAGGTGAAAATGGCGCATCGTATTAATGTTATTGTTTGTTTTGCGACATCCTTCGACATGCATTGTCAGTATTGACATGAGTGAAATGAAAAAATTTGGCTAGATTTATATTCTTATAATATCAACCTCCCTCTATAATATAAAACATTAACTATATCTATTTGAAAATAAATTGTATCAATTTTGTTTCAATCTTGCAAAAATATTTACACCATATATCATCGTGGCAATACATGTCAACCTTTAATTAATTTCTAAAAATAAAGTGATTAAAAATGTTTAAAAAACTTCATTATAATGATAACTTGTGTTTAAAGTTTTGTCCTAGTTATATATATAGGGGAATAATGTTCCTGTTTGGGAGCATCTTTCGACGACCTTCATCGCAACAACCTCCTCTTTCCTCTCGTCTGTAAAGCTTTCGTTTAGAACGTGTCACGTGTACGCATTAATAAATCACTCTTAGAGATCAACTATGGGACTGCATTAATCTGTAACACATTTATCGATGTAGTTTTGTCCTTATTGATGAATCTGTCGTTTGTTCCTGTGGTGAAGTGGAGCCTCTCTGACGTACGGCCTTCACTGCGCTTGCACCAACCTGCTGTCTCTTTTTCACTAGGGTTTATGTTGTAGAGGGAAGGCCTATTTAATTACTTGTTTTAACACAAGTTTTTTTTAAAAAAATAAAAAAACAAAAAATTATTCTGAAAAATCAAAAAATCGAAGCATCTTTTGTCTTTTATGTGTTTTATTGTTTTTTGTTTTGAAAAACTAGATAAAAGACAGAATATATCACGCTTTTATTAATGACAATTATATTAATAAAATAAATTATTCTTTTAACCTTTTACTTCACCATTTTAGATATACTTTTCAAGACAATGATTAAAAAAAATTATTTTTTAATTACAAAACTCGTTTTAAAATATTATTATACAAAATTATGCTTTAAAAAACATTCAACAAACAAACAAACAAGCAAGCGCTACATCATGACGACTGACGAAGCTTCTCCTTCCAGGAAGTTGCACGTTATAGAACACAATTGTACGGATTCAGATGTCGTTTTAACGCATACGTACGTCCAAATGTAGGGTGCGTTTCGTTTTCATCCATTTAATATTTGAAATGGACTTTTAAATTTTTAAAATATTAAAAGTTATTTGAATAATTTTTTAAAAAATAAAATAATTTTTTAAAAGTGAGTTAAAATGGGTTTAAAATGTAAATTTTAAAATCCTATTTTTGGATGGATTTCAAAAGTTCATTTCAAATGTTAAATGAGTTGGGAGCAATTATGAGAGAAATAATTGGATACCTAATTTTTTAAATGATCATGATATCCTTTGATCCATGTAACTTCATACACTAATGAAGAAAATATGATTAACACTAATAATAATAATGATAAGCATACATTTTTATCATCAATTTTAAATATAATTTCAAGCATAACTTCTGATAGAGAGATAAATAAGGTTTGAAAGTCTATTAAAAATTAAATTGTATATTATAGATCGGACCATTAATCAAGAATATTTTTTTTAATATTAAATTATATATATATTAATTATTCTTGTTATTTAACATCTTACATTTGATATTATTTTAATTTTTTGACATTTTTTAAACATTTTTAATATATTATATGTGAATAATAAAAATTATAAATTATCATAAACTAATATCATTTTTAGTCATTGTATATTTAAAAGTATATTTTAAAAACACAAATTTTTATTAATTCAAACAACTTTTAATTTATCAAACTGATTTTTAAAAAGATATATTTAAACACAAATTTTATTAAAACAACTAATTTTTACTCAACTAATCTTTACTAAATAAATTTTTATTAAAAATCAAACACACACATGATTTCCCGCCGGGACGATCGGCGTATGTAGATGTACGCTTAGTAACTTCAACGGATCCACAATGGTTGGATGATCACGTTCTTCTTGAGCGTGTCCTGACGTAATCGTGACAGTCACGACAAAGATCGATCGGAGTCAGAAGAGTAACGTGTTTTTCCAGAGTTATATATATATATAATTATCTCTTTGCCCTCTCGGGCATGGATAAAGAGTACGTGCATTTGAATCTTTATCATGGTTCCTATATAGCTAGGCATGTGAGTGCGCTTTGCCTGCTCTTTAATTGGGGCTCGTTAAACAAATAGTCAATGCACATCATTTCTTGTTTCTTATCAACAAAAATGTTGTCAAAGCAAAGATTATCTAGCTATACTGCTATTTAGCGCTAGGCAAACGGCACTTGAGACGGCGTTTTTGCTGGCTAGTCAAATTGGATTGAAAAGCTTAACCCAAGTTAATTTTTTTAGTGGGTTAACTAGCCTGTGAGTTACTTTGCAAAAATATTTCAAAATTTTTTTAAATAATTTAAAATTTATATAACATATATACAGTCCACAATCCATGACAAATTAACAATTAAAAAATTTGTAAATAAACAAAATAAATATAGAATTTAATCAATCAAATTTAACCAACCATAAACAGAATAATGTTGTGAAGAAGGAAAGTGTCAGCATGGACGAAGGTGAAGAGACAATTGGGATGCATTAGCAATAATGCCAATCATGTAGTTTTCATACATACGCGAGCAAAGCACTAAGCAACTCAATCTTGGTTAATGAAAAAAAGTTAGGGAGTGAGATGATGGGAATCTAATGCGCAAAAAGTCTACCATGCTAGAATAAAGAAGAAAAAGAAGAAGAAATGGATTGGGAGGCTAACTTGTGTAGCTCATAAATTTTTACAGTTTGAACTAATCCAACTTATTTTACAAAATAAACTCATTTTATCAACACAAGCAAACCGACCTATTGGGTTGAGTCTGTTTGCTTAATTCTGCTGCTATTTACTTATGAGCATGGCAAGCACATGACAAACACCTAGGTTAATTAAGAATTTGTATAAAAAATATATAGAAAGTAATGCAACTTTCTTTAGACTCTATGTGACTGCCCCTATATTGTTCTCATTAACACTATAATTACAATTTATTTAAGGTCTAATTAAACCCAACAAATTAATTAAATTACATTAAGGTGAAAATTATGCATTTGAATTTTATATTTAAAATTTAACATTTAATTTTTTACTTTGATTGTATAAAAAATAAAAAATAAAGAGAGATGAGTTGAGATTTGAAATAAAAATGAAAAATTAAATGTGATAAACTTTTCTCTATACTTAAGTTAGTGATAGAAAAGAATAAGAGATGAGAGAATCGACAAGAGTGATAAAAGTACGAATAATAAAAGCACGATTAAAATAAGAAGTTTAAATGAATGCAATTTCAAACACTACAATATAAATGGAATTTGAATATAGATAAACTATAATAAATTATGTATTTGAATTTGATCTATATTCATATGTTTTTATGTATCCAAACAGGAATTGATTTCAAATTCAAATCTAAATCTAAACTTCTATGAATTCAAAGACAACATATAATAATTTCGTTTAATGTTATGGAAATTCTAGAAAGTGAGAAGTCCTGAGTATCAAATTAAGATCACTAACTACATGCGTCACGCGCCTGTTTCAAAATGGAGAAGTGAGAGTGATGGTTAAAATATGGCAAATTAAAGTGGCTCTCTCTTAGTTCGTTGCCTTTTTACTATGTAGTTAGTTGTTCTTATTTTCCTCTTGTATTAAAAAAAAAAAAGACACTCATGTTTTTATGGAAAGTAGAAATCAGGGTTCAAATGAAAGTTGTCTCAAGAAACCTAGTTGGCATGTACATGGGAGAAACTCATCCTAAGCAAAACACACCAATCATCTCACTTATTATTCAAGTTCTCATGATCAAGCTTTACACAACTCTCCATGACATATCAAACCAATCAACTTAGAGATCATCTTTAGTGCTCATTTTAGGTGATAAAATTTGGACCGTTCAGATTTTAATACGGATGATCTAAATTTAAAGTATTTATTATATATTTTTATTAAAATAAAATTTTATAAATCTGTTCATTATTAATCTGATCTAAATTTAATTTGGAAGGCCCAAAGTTAATATTAATTTTTTTTATAAATTAACTATGTAGATTTACTTTGAATAGTTTAGATTTATAATTTTTAACTTATAATTTTTTAGAAAATATTTTTTTAAAATTGCCAATTAGAATATTATCTTAATTTTTAATATTTTACAATTGTTCAATTAAGTCAAACAATTATTATTGTTATTGTGTTATATGAGGCACTCATTGAATGAATGAATTATTTAGGCCAATCATCAAATCCAGGCTAAGGTGAGATGTTCCTTTGGTCCCTTGTGCGTCCCCATAAATATTAATTATTACAGACCATCTCATGTATTAATATGAATAAGTTAAAATATTGAATAATAATAATAATGATAATGATAATGATAATGA